GATGCTATCACACTGAGGAGGATGCTATCACACTGAGGAGGATGCTAGCACACCGAGGAGGATGCTAGCACACCAATGAGAATGCTAACATACTGAGGAGGATGCTAGCACACCGAGGAGGATGCTAACATACCGAGGAGGATGCTAGCACACTGAGGAGGATGCTAGAACACTGAGGAGGATGCTAGCACACTGAGGAGGATGCTAGCACACCAATGAGAATGCTAACATACTGAGGAGGATGCTAGCACACCAAGGAGGCTGCTATCACACCAAGAAGGATGCTAACACACCATCCCTTTGGTCAGATGAGTGAAAAATCTGGTGTGGCTCAGTGCTCACATTGGACTGGAATGGAGAATGATGGTGGTTAGTAAACCAACGTATTGGAGGATGAGGATCAAGGCATGGAAAATAATTTCTGAGAAAGGAAAATTTGTTGCTTGAGAAAAATCCAGGGTAGGTTACATATATGACAAATTATCACATTGTAAAATAATGGTATTTGGGCACAGCATGCATAACTGTTTGAATTAATAACCTAATCTCAAATATGTTTTAGAAAAACTGATGTTGAACATCTTTTTCAGCTTTTTGACCTAATTCCATCGGGAACTTTAATTTGTTATCAAATTCCAAAGACCTATAGTGGTTAGCTCTATGCTAGGTAAGCTGAAGCTGATAGGGTAAAACCCTTCCTCCAGCTGCCCTGGAAGCGAGAGAATCCAGATATAGCCCTGGGTTTAAAATGCCAAGATCACGCCCAATGGATGTGTATTCTCTTGATAACCCTTTGCATTATCTATGGCATCCTAAACAAAACAAGACTGTTCCCATCCCTCCAACCATTCTGCATTGGTCTCCTTAGTTACCACAATTTATGCTTAGACTTGCGTGCTCTAACATGTGTTTGCTGACGGTCACACACCTCTAGATGTGCAAACCACCAGTCTTTCCCTATCACTAATTCCTGCAAGGAGATAAAAGAAATTCTGACTTGTATATTTTTAAAATTTACTACTTAAGATTTTCTTTAAAAACAGGAGGAGGCCTGGCAGTGGTGGTGCATGTCTTTAATCCCAGCTCTTGGGAAGCAGGGACAGACAGATCTCTGTGAGTTCAAGGCCAGCCTGGTCTATGAAGCAAATTCCAGGACAACCAGCGCTGTTACATAAAGAAACCCTGTCTTGAAAAACAAACATAAGAAAACAAAAACAAAAAACCAAACAAACAAAGCAGGAGATCTCTTCTGAAGAAAGATATCTGATCTAGTGTAATAACACACAAGCCTTTAGTCCTAGGACTCAGAGGCAGAGGCAGGCGGATCTCAGCAAGTTTGAAGCAGCCTGGTCTATATAGTGAGTTCCAAGACAGTCAGAGCTACACAGTGAGACTCTGTCTAAAAAACAAAAACAAACAAAAAAGATATCTGATAGTCCTTTGTGCAAAATATGAAGGTATTTCTTTTCTTTTGGCAGTAAGATCATGTGATATTAGTCAGGTGGGCCCCAAATTCCTGGTCTCTTTGTTCCTCAATCTCTGTGTAGCTGGAACTTCAGGATCATGCCAACGCCTTGGGCTCAAAATTTCAGCGAGCTCCTAGCACTTCTCAGGGAAACACACTCTTGTTTGCCACCGGGACAGAATGGGCGCTCAAGAAATTCAGTACACGGCAGACAGAAGCACAAGCACATTTCCATGTCCGTGCGTGTCTTACGTAATCCCAGCCTCTTCCCTGTCATCTTCTGTACAACTCAATGAGTGTCTTTGTGCACATTTTACAGGTGATTTAATGTCTCACTGACAACACAGGTCAGGTCACTCATCCAAAGGGCATGTGGTTAGGAAGGACGTGGTCTCTGAGGAGACTTCCTCTGTTAAGCAGGGTTCCGAGAACAGAACAGAGCTGAGGTGGCAAAGCTCAGAATGTTCTATCACCCGGAGACAGTACAGTGGGCTGATTCCCACTGTGGACCTCCAGGGCTTCGGGCTTCAAAGGCTTGGTGTTGTTAAAGGTAATTTACAGTTGACATCCCTGTAGAAATAGTCACACTATCTCTCTGTGTATCACCTGTTCTCTTTGTTCTGGTAGTTGTCTCGGCAAAATCACCGCGAACTCTGAACTAGCAAATACCAGTCTCCTATTATTAAGTTCCTATAAGCTTTGGTAAACCAGTCAGTGTATATCCTTACTTAGTGTATGTTTGTAGTGTGTTGTTATTTTGATATGGGATCTTACTATATTGCCTAGTCTGTTCTTCAACTGCTGGGCTCGAATGGTCCTCTTGCCTCAGCCTCCTGGGTAACTGGGACTATAGGTATGTATCAATGAAGCCTCTTTCTGTTTAGAGACACCTTACTTGAGCTATATTGAGAACTCAAATTTGATTCCCTGTACTCACAGCTAACACCTCAGATTTCTACAAAGCTACTCTAACACATTCTTCTACATGGTATGTCACACCTTTGCATGTGTACGAATACCAGATCGCAGCACTCGGGTCATCTTAAACGCTGAGAGAAACAAAACCCCACAAATATGAAGAATAGGATGCTAAGTAGACCACTGAAAGTCAAGTCTGAGAGCTGAGGAAAAAAGGTAGAATGGCCACACTCCTCACCCAGGGAGTATGGCTGCAGGAAACTTCTTGCTGCTCTGAGCTCCCGTCCATGGAGCCACAAGTACTGTAGCCACAAGTACTGACCTGGGCTACAGATTTTTGTGATAGGAAAACTTAATACGGACTATATAAATGAAGTCAAATATCTTCAATGCCATAGGTTACACACACATCTTATCTCCATCTAGAAGGAGAACAAGTGGTGGAGACTGACCTGTTCCTGTGCCAGTCACACAAAGGGCCACGTTTCCAGGCTCACAGCCTCGGCAGGCTGACATTCATCAGAGCCTCAGACAAGGCAGGAGTTCTACTTTTGACCTCCTGAACATCTCAACTTATTCTTAAATAAGGACCCGGTAGTTTCAGCTTCAATGGATCCCACCAATTTTTCCTCACAACACATGTAAACAGATAAGTAATTAGGGAGAACAGATAAGTAATTAGGGAGACCAAAATATATTGTTTACTTATCAGATAAAATAACCTTTTTTTTTTTCAAGGAGCTGAATTATGTGGTAAATTACATGACCATTTGTTGATGGGCAATAAACTCTTGATATGTATTAGCTCATTTAGTGCATGTGATACTCTGAGCTGGGTGTCTGCACTGACTTGTCAGGAAACTGAGGCCCAGAGAAGGTGTGTGTGTAGCAGGCAGCATAGCTAGCATCTAAACCCACACAACCAGAAGTCCATGGTTCTAACACTAGAATCTACAGCTGAGTGTTGAGCTCAAATTTGTAAGTAATATAAAGGGTTAATTAATTTTGTAATCTCGAGGAACCTATCCCATTTGTTTTTCATGTGTACAGCTTCCAGAGGATAATGATACTATTAGAAGTTAGGCTGAGAATGTCAGTGGTAGAGTTTTTGTCTCAAATATGCCATTTCCAGTATACCCCAAAAGTATCAAAAGAGATAGAACTTAGAGTTTAACTTCTGGTAAATTTGTATCTTTAGTAAGAGACTATTTAATGATCAAATGAGGTATTTGAGCTAACTAGGTTTATCCATAATCTTGTTTGTTTAGTTTTGTGGGTTTTTTTGTTTGTTTTGTTTTGTTTTGTTTTTGATTAAGGTCTCTATCACAACCCTGCCTATCCTGGAACTCGCTCCATAGACCAGGCTGGCCTTGAACTTACAGAGATATACCTGCCTCTGTCTCTCAAGTGCTGGATTAAAGGTGTATGTCATCACACCCAGGCAAATTATTTTTAATAATTTTGTCACAATATTAATTGGTACTTAGAATGATCAGTTTTACTAAAGCAACTCAAATAATTTGATGTTAATTGTTCTATAAAGCATTTTTAATTCATTTAATTAAAAATTGCCAGTTCCAAATGCCGGGCCCTGCAATCTGCATTCCCAACAGCCTAAGGTGGTTCTTTAGATGTTTCTTTGAGAGGATTGGCTTGTCAATTTTTGAGAGGATTTTTTTTCTTACTTCTTCCATAGATGTCTAAAGAGATCCATTTAAATCACTTGAATACCAGCAGACTATTTTAGGTAGTTTATACATTATCATTTATATGTGGTTTTGTTGATGTTTTGTTTTTCTGAAGCAGGGACTCACTCTAGGCCAGAATGACTCAGAACTTATTCTCAACGCTGGCTGGCCATGAACTCAATGCAATCCTTTTACCTTAGCCTCCTAAATGCTGAGGTCACAGACATGAGCACCACACCCAGGTTCAACTGCTTCTTAATGGGTTTCTTCATTATAATTTTACTGTTCCAAACTGTGTCTGATATTGTAAAAGATATGGCTTTAAGCTTGCAGATTTCCCAACGCAGGGAGATAAAATGGAAATGTGCGTAAGACAGAGATGAAAACATGAACTTCAGGTGAGCTCATCTTAGACTCATCCCAGGCTGCGGTGGCAGGAGAATAACATGAATTGCTGGGCATTGCTGGATTTGGCAGTATTTGGGGGGCAATAATGACCTGAGTTGGTTCTGTTGATGTGGGATTCCCATCTGTATGCTATGAATATGTTTTATTACCATTGGTTAATAAAGAAGCTGTTTTGGCCTATGATAAGGCAGAATATAGCAAGGTAGGACATCCCAGCAGAGATAGAGGAAGAAAGAAGACAAAGTCAGGCAGATACCATGTAGCCGCCCAAGAAGCAAGAGGTACAAACCATGAGCCTTGTGGTAAAATATAAAATAATAGAAATGGGTGAACTTAATATGTAAGACTTAGTTAATAAAAAGCTTGAGCTAATAGACCAAAGATTATGTAACTAATATTAAGCATCAGAATGGTTATTTCATAAGTGGATGCAGCAGCCAGTGAGTGGACTCACTGAGTGGAGAGAAACTGGTCCAGGGGGACCAGCAGAATAGAGAGTAATTGTAGCTACACTCTTTGGCATGTTTCAAAACATGGTCTTGCAAAAGAAAGTACTGGTAAATGTGGATATGATGGTGAATTTGGCTTCTGAGTTGGACAGAAAACAAGTATGCATTCTCAACGTGTTTGCAGGACAGCAAGAGTCAGCTGAAAACTGATGTCTTAACAAAATGGCATCTGGGAACAAGAGCATCGATGTGAAAAAAAACAGAGCAAGCAAAAGGCAGCTCCTAGAAGAGATGAACGAGAAGCGTGAGTCCTACTGTCTGGTGGAGAGGAGCAATCAAGTCAGCTTCCTGCGAGTCCAGAAGCGGCACTTCAGCCAGGCCTACCAGTCCTTAGCGAGTGTGCACATCAAAGAGTCTGTTCCTGAAAGCAGCCGGACCTCCTGGGTCAAACAGCCTCTCTTTGTTCACAAGGAGAAAAAGCACTTTGCACCCAAAAGTAAGATAGTCTGGTGGGACTCCGCCCAACCTGCAGGAGGGATAAATGGCAGAACTTCTGGTTAAAAGAGGTTCTAGGGATTGCTCTGGGAATCTCTGAAAGTGATAGGTCTGAAGGCAAAACAGATTATCAGGGGTAAGACCCACCACAGACCAGAGAGTCACTTTCTTGTGTCTGTAGGACCCCAGGCTCCACCACGGCCAGGCCAGTTCGCTCTGTGGTTTGGTGTTTGGGCCTTGCAGTCTGCATTCCCAGCAGACCCTGGTGGCTCTTAACTACTGATGGTGTGCCAGCCACATTTTGAGAAGAGCTGCATTCCCTTTAGAGACCTCCCGTGTCACCAATTTCTGTTGTCTACAGAATTTTATGTTCCAAATTGAAGTAAAATGGAGTTTTTTTTTTAGCAAATGTGACATACAGTGTCATAAGAAGCGGTCATAAGCCTGAGGAGGGGAGCTAGGTGGGGACTACTTTAGTACTGTTACAAATGGGAATTGTGATTCTGTTGTGTAGTCAAGGCAGGCAACTGGCAATGTTTTCTCATTTATTTGGAGAAAGTGTTCATACATATATATTCAATATAGCCAATACATTATCAATTTTGTTCACAAAGAATGGTCCCCATTAGCCATTTGTGGCCATGACTTTGCATTTTACCAGTGTCCTTAGGGAGTAGTACAGGGCGGTGGGCCAGCGTGGCACAGAAAGCCCAAACACTGTGCTGTGATTTGAGGTTAATCTCTAACAAGTGTGTTTCTTTTCTAAAAACAAAACAAAACAAAAAAAAACCCAATCATCTTTACAAAAGAATGCCTTGGCATTCCTAATGATAAAAGTACAGTTCTTCCTTCTGCTGGAATTGCTCAGAACAACAGTGTGTCGGTTCTCACTTTGGTGGTGGAGAGAAAATTCATCTCTTAGAGGAACACGCATGATTTCATACAACACAGAGTCTGACACATCTCGTCCCACAACTAACTTTCATGTTAAAATCGTAAACCAATAACCCCGAAACATTAACTCTTTCATATTTAGAAATTGTTTTGAGCTTTGATCAACTGAGAAATGGGATGGAGATAAAATGTTGACTTCTTGAGAAAGCAGACCTTTACTGAAGAAGCTCACTAAAAAGAAGTCTTGCGGCCATTCCCAGAGCGGAACTTGAGGTCTGCTGCTCTTGGTTGAGAGAGGGGTAGATGAGAGAGAGAGAGAGCCTGGGGGGCAGCAGGTGCAGAGAAAATCATCTGCTAAATCAGGAGCTGGGACTATGGTTTGATAAAGGTATTAGTTTGGTAGGTTTCAGCAAATACTAAGTTATACACATGATTTGCTACATAGTGAGAGCCTCTCTGGAAGACAGTGCTCTCCCATCCTGAGTGTGGAAGGGTGAGGAGGGACAAGGCTGGCCCTGTTGTCCTCTCAGGGAGCCTCACAAGCAGCTGGCAGACTGTGTGAGTTACTTTCTGTCACTGGGATAGGACACTGTCACCAAGGCAGAGCTCGCTGTGGGCTACAACTGCAGAGGATGGGAGTCCATATGTCAGGGTGGAGGCGGCAGGCAAGCTTGGCAGGTGGAGCAGGATGCTGAGAGCTTACATCTTGAACCTGGACCACAAAGCTGAGCACTATCTGAAGAGAGAGTGAAGCCTTAACCCCTCACAGCTCAATCCCAGCGACATACTTCTTCCAGCAAGACCACATCCACTAAACATCCCCAGACAGCACCATGAACTATGGCCAAGTGTTCCAGTGCATGAGCCTATGGGCACATTCCCATTCAAACCCCTGCCAGAGGCCTTCTGTTCCATCTCTTTTCTGATAGCCCGCATCTTCATTCCTGACCTCTTCTGACCTTCAGCTATGGATGCTGTCCATCATCACACTGCTGCTCTACGTGAGGTCAGTCTAATACTAAACTGCAGTTTAGTATTGCTGAGACAAACTCCTGTGACCACCAGCCTTACCTTCCTCGTCTGGGAAAGCTCTGCCCTCACAGTCCACATTCAGTGTGTGAGTGAGTCCTATCTGTCCCCTCTCCAGAGTCAATGATGCATCTGAACCCTGCCACCTCGCTGGCTCTCTGTCCACTATTAATCCCAGCATGAGAGCGAAGGAATGAAAGAGCAATGATCCTCTCTGCCCTTCAGGTTATCCTAAAAACTGCAATAGATTAGATTACGGAAATGTATCTTTTTGATGTTTTGCTAGGCTAGCCTTTAGTGGTTGAGGAATCTCACTAGCCTAATAAATGTATTTTTTATCTTTCAGATAATGCCATATTTGGATAAAGTACATGTCCAGAGACACACAAGTAAATTCTCTCCCATCAATCTTCAATGTCTGTGAATTACTTAGAAATACTAATTATAAAAGAAACTGACCTGGTGTCATGGTGAACGCCTGTAACCTCAACATCAGGACAGTGAATTTCAGGCCAGCCGGGGTCATATCTCAGGTCCTTGTCCAGGGCTGGGGACGTGTAACAAAATAAGACTAAAGCTAACTTTTCTCTTCTCAACAGTAACTAGCTGGTTCCAAGAACCTTGAAGGGTGGCCTCCTACTTTCATGAACCTGGGTACTGGTAGAAGAGATGAAACTCTTAGTTCACAGCAAGACAACTCTGGCTCTAGCTAATTCTCTGGCCCCCAGTGCACTGCCTCAGGACCCCCAAGGCTAGGCAAAGCTCCAGGTAGAAACACACAGGTTTGCGGATCCCTGCTGAGCATAAACAGCCCAACCTATGCCGATAAGGAGACTTTATCTTATTGTGTGAGGCCTACCTCAGGTCCAGAGGGAGACCTTATCTCTGTCTTCTGACGTGATCGCCTGCACAGGAAGGAGAGGCCAGATCTACAGAGTTTGTACCCTAAGCAGCCCCATTAGAGATGACAAGGCACAATATTTTTTAGGCGCGAGCACAGAGCAACGAATGCCAGGTTATACACAGCCTCCCTTCCCTGACCCCATCCCGCTTTCCTGTAGGGGTGGCTCTGCCTTCTTAGAACTGGCTGCAATTCTCTGAAGCTGCCTTTGGCTCTGTGCTCCCTCGCCTTCCTGTGGTTTAAATGCTACCTCCTTCCTAATTCCTTCCTTCAGCCCGTCCCATTACCTACTTCTACTTTGCCCTGTGTACCCTATAGCACTCTTGAGCTGAAGCCAGAAACTCAGAAGTACAGTTGTATTTGAACTCTGACCCTACCTGAAACAGCAGACATTCTCACCTCCCGGGAATGCTTCCTCAGTCAGCATGTGGTAACAGGTGTTTCTTTTCTGCCCTGGCTTCCTGGGGGCCCTCAGTTCAGCCCACTAACGTGCACACAGGATTCCTGCTGCTTCCCCAGTACTCTGGGATGAACATTAGTGGTGCAGCATTGTCACCGTAGCCACTGACAACGGGAACTTCCTCTCTAAGCTCCGACAGACTTACGTGTCCTTTCTCAGCACTGTAGTGTGCTCAGAGAGACGGGATGGCAGAGCCAGAGGCCAAACAAAACCAACTAGACAGTGACCAAGAAGGGCCCCGATCAGTACAAGGCCTGGGTTGATTCCTCAGCATGAATGGGCTGTGTGAGGATACTCAGACTTAAAAGCCCTTTTTCAAGGTTGTACTTTTCCTTGAGTAGAAGAGCACTCAGGAGCAGAGACCAGAGAATCTGCACATTTCTCTTGGAGACTTTGCTGAAAACACTCTTCGGAATTATGACCCTCTTTGTAGGCTTTTCCTTCTCCAGGAGCCTGTGAGACCAGTTACAGAGCAGTCTGGACCTCAACCATTGTTCCAGGCTGGGTGCTGGCACACATCTTTAATCTCAGCATTCAGCAGGCAGAGGCAGACGAATGTCTGTTAGTTCAAGGTCAGCCTGGGTGGTATACGGAGTGAGTTCCAGGCTTGCCAGGCTTTCAGGGGGTTGGGGTTGGGGGACAGAAATGAAAACCAATTTGCTGTGGCCACACTGGGAGGAAGTCAAGAGGCCATCATCAGGATATGTGCATGGGGTTTAGTCTTAAACAGAGGGGGAGTGTATATCTACGTCATCCTGGTCAAGAGGTACTGTCAGCCACTGTTGACAATGTCCAGGTTCTGATCTGTCCCGGAAGGCGATCTGGTAAGTTGTCAGACCTGTATAATCTCTTCTTGCGAGACAAGTTCCTTCTTTAGCTGGCACCAGATTAAAGTCTCTTTTCTATAAGCTTGTGATTTCTGGGGAAATTCTAGTTCCTTGTTTTAGTTTCTGACAGCCAACCAAAAGGAGAAAGTACAAAGTGTCTCTAGAATAACAAAAGGTCTTGAATGGGGGTTCCCGGGGACACTGGGACAGACTGCGGTGCTGTTAATAAGAGGGGTACTAATGTCAGGACAGACAACAGCATGGCAGGGATTCTGAGGAAAGTTCAGATAACATGGTGGGGACTCTGAAGGAGGAATCGGGACCCGCAGAAGTGGAGGTCTCTGCTCATCTGTGAGCACGGTGGAGGTGTCACAGCACAGGCCCGTAGTCAGACTCTGATTCACAGGGAGCAGAATGAGTGGCTACCAGTACCCTTTGATGTAAACTCACTCCCCCAGATGAGAGGTCCCGGAACTTGGAAGTGTTACCTAGAGGGTCACAGTGTTCTCTGCGGGATGCCTGTCAGCATCTGTGAGAAAGACTGCCACAGGCACTGTGACCAAGCACCAGATGGAGTAAACATTACAGTCTAAAAAATATCTTCACCCAGATGCCAGGACTAGTACCATATCACAATGGCTACCGTCACCCCATTCCAGCCCAATATCCTGGGCCAAATCATGGTGCCCTAATTTTAATGCTTAAGCACAAGATGACAGGCTTCCTAATTCAAGGATCAATTAACAGGTGTATGAACAAGCTAGGTCAGTCTCTCTTCCCCCTTAATCTTCTCCATCAACAGCCAACATCTCCAACCTGCATCACAGAGGCCTGCTCATGTCCTCGAAGGTAAGCTTTTAACTAGCCAGGTGCTGTGGTGTGGGGCTCAGGTGCAGTTGCTTGGAAAGCTGAGTCAGCCTTACAGAGCCTAGGCCTCATAGTGAAGCCTGTCTCTTTAAAGGGGTGGGTATCTCTGGGCTCTCAAAACTGCTGTTTCTTCTGGAAAAGGCCCCCTTTCCCCTGTACAACTCAGACCTGGTTCCCTCCTACATGGACGCCTAGGAATCACACCTTGGCTAGAATCACACCTTGGCTAGGAATCATACCAGAGGCACACTGACCACATCTGAAGGGTATCGAATTCTCCATGCACATGCTAATTATTAAATATTCAAAATAAAAAAAATCCATGGATCTTCTATAAGCTTATTGTTAAGTTGGGAAAAGCAGGGCTGGGGGGTTCCTTGAGGCTTTCTCCCGTTAAGTGGGCAGTAAGTCCAGAAGTTAGTGTGTCTGTGGTGTTTTCCCAGTCTATTCCAGGATTGGCTAATTGAAAGTTGGAACCCATAGTTTCAGTAACCAAGCCAAACTCCTCTATTTTTTTAAGTTTTTAGAAATTATTGTTATTTTATTTATGTTTATGTGTGTCTGTTTAGGGGTATGCCACACATGTGCTAGTGGCAGAGGAGGACAGAAGAGGGGGTTGCATCTTCTGGAGATGGATGGAGTTGCAGGCAGTTGTAAGCCACGGGACGTGGGTGCTGGGAACCGCGGGAGTCTCTGGAAGGGCAGCGACTGAGCGCTCTTGACGGCTGAGCCATCTTTCCAGCCCAGAGTTTGTCTTTAAGAGAAACATTTCTGTAAAACTATGACTGCTGCCCACATGAAGTGGCTTCTTCTCTTCAGACCATTCAAGCAAACACTTGTCCCCACTTGTCCCCAGGTCCTGAGCTGACCTGGCCGAGCTGCGGGAGGTTTGGAAGCTATTTCTGGAGCAGGTCCTGAAGCTTGGGAAACAGTTTTAAGGCATTCTGTGTCGTCACTTCTTGAACTTCTTCCACTGAGATCCCTTTCACCTGGGCAATGAATTCTGCTGAGATGGAAATGTTGCAGGGCTCATTCCGTGTCTGAGAGAGAACAAAATGGAACACTCAATGTCTACAGATCCTGGAGACTGTAGCTAGGACACGAACACGAGAACCAGTGGGTCAAACACCTGATGACACCTTTGCTACTCCGAAGGAACTGACATTTCCTTATTAATGCTTTTTAAATGGGGGAATGAGTTTGGCAGGGCGTGCTACATGCTGACGCTACCCATGCTGTTCAGAAGAGATCCTAGTGGTATCTGCAGGTGAAGCCTTGAGCCCCCAGCGTGTGAAGCAGTCCACCATCCAGCAAGGGCAGCTTGTCTCAAGGTTAGCTAGCCTTTGTGTTTTTGCAAACACAAGTGCTGGGAAATGCCACTGCACTCTCCTTGGCCTCTCCCTTCATAGGCTACCTGCCCAGTATGATTTAAAATGCCCAAGGACTGGAAAGACTGCTCGATTAGGTTCCGCCATCTGATTCTTACTTAATACTCATGAAATAAATAGGTATTTTGCTTATGCTCAGGGGTATGTCTTAATGACCCCCTCCAGAAAAAAAAAACAGTATTTCTGCAAGCAATAGCATCTAGACTTAGTGAAAAACATACCTGTAATTATTAATAAGTGAATACTTGGGATAAAAACTAGAGGAATAAAATTATATATCTGTATACCTGTATATGGATAGAATGATCTGGAAGGACAAGAGACCTTAAACCTAGAGATTTTTCACAAATAAGGCTTCATTCCCTTCCTGGAATGTCTCATTTAACATCTATGAGACAGGACACTGTTCACAGGAAAGATGATATCCTAACAAGATAATGAAGCTGAGCATGGTGGCTTTGACACCAGCACTCGAAGATGGGTGTTAGGGTGCATGACTTTAAGTCCAGCATTTGGGAGGCAGAGAAAGGCAGACCTCTGTGAGTTCGAGGCCAGTCTGGTCTACAAAATGATTCCAGGTCAGTCAGGGCTACACAGAGAAACCCTATCTTGGAAAAACAAAACAGAACAAAACAAACAACCAGCACTTAAGAGGCAGAAGTGGGCAGATTTCTGTGGGCTTGAGGCCAATCTGGTCTACACTGTGAGTTCCAGGACAGCCTGGACTATATAACAAAGACTGTTCATTTACTGCCAGGTACTTTCATATAAATTTCTTCATGTAAACCTTATAAAATATTTTACTATTTTAGCCATGTTTTATAACTGAAAAGTCAGGCAGGCATAGTGGTACATGCCAATAATCTAGTTCTCAGGAATCAAATGTAAAGGAGCTGGAGGCCAGGCTCAGCTATACAGTGTGAGTCGGAGGCCAGGCTCAGCTATACAGTGTGAGTCTGAGGCCAGCCTGTATTATAAACGTCTCAGTTTCAATGAAAGAATGGATGAACGGATGGATAAACAGGTAAATATAGCTTTGGAGAAATGAAGTAGCTTTTCCAAAGTCAGGCAATTACATCCTGAACTGTCAAGAAGGATCTGAATGGAAGTCTCAATAACTCCATACATGTCTAGGACACTCACTATTACACAACTGAAAGCATGCTTCTTGTCAAATGATATTCTCTGAACCACACCAGTATTCAGAAAAGACTCTCCAGCCAGGGGGTGGTGATGTACACCTTTAACCCCAGCGCTCAGGAGGCAGAGGCAGGCAGATTTCTGTGAGTTCGAGGCCAGCCTGGTCTACAAAGTGATTTCCAGGATAGCCAGAAATGTTACACAGAGAAACCCTGTCTTGAAAAAACAAAATCAAACCAAACCAAAAAGAATGGTCTCAACTTAGTATCGCGTATCACAGTGAGTCCCAGCTAAACCAGCATAGCCCTCACAAGAAGCATCTGTAACCCATAAACCAGAGGTCCACTTACCAGTTTTTCTGGTCCCAGTGCAGGGGAGTCTGTCTCTAAGCAGATAGAGCTTAAAGGCAGCTGTTTCACAAGCTTCTGCTTCTTAGAGAGAAGAGAAAGCAAGCTTAAACAGGGAATAGGAGAGCATTAACTTACATGTGGACAAGTCTTGGCCTGCAGGGCTCTAGCACCCATTGTTACCACTAAGTCGCCTTGCTATCAGGACAGCTACCATGCTCTCACATTCCACTTCAGATAAGAACAGTCAGCCTGGCAGTGGTGGTGCATGCCTTTGATACTAGCATGCGGGGTAGGTGCAGAGGCAAGTGGATCTTTGTAAGCTGGAAGTGGCCATCCTGGTCTACAGAGAGAGTTCCAGGGCAGAGAAACCATGTCTCAAAGTATTGCATAAAATTACAAACATTATTCAAAGTTTTCTTTAGAGAAGTACCTACTTAACCCCTTTCATGCACCAGGCGGTGGTGGACACCTTTAATCCCAGCACTCAGGAGGCAGAGGCAGGCAGATCTCTGACTTTGAGGATAGCCTGGTCTACAGATGAAATTCCAGGACAGCCAGGGCTACACAGAGAAACCCTGTCTCAACTCTACCCCCACCCCCCCAGAAAAAGCATCCTTCCCGGCTTTGCGGTCGGGCCCAGTTCTCACCACTGAAGTGCAGCAGCCCTTACATGTCCCGGACACCACACCCTCACTGGACACGGTTTGGAAATAGGTTTTCCTCCTCTGGGTTGTCTTTTCATTTTATTGACAGTATATTTTGAAATATAATAGCTTCATTTTCTTTTTTTTGTAGAAATTTAGTATTTTAATGATGCCTAATTTCACCATTTTTTCTTTGATCTCTTGTGGTTTTGGTGTTATCTCTAGGAAACCATTGCTTAATCCAGGATCAAAAAGTCAAGAGTTTAAAAACATTGGCTCTTGCCGGGCAGTGATGGTGCACGCCTTTAATTCCAGCACTTGGGAGGCAGAAGCAGGCGGATCTCTGTGAGTTTGAGACCAACCTAATTTACAAAGCAAGTTCTAGGACAAGCAGGTGTAGTATGAGGGGCCAGGGCTGTTCACAGAGAATCCTGTCTTGAAAAACAAGAACAAGAACAACAACAAAAATACTGGCTCTTAGATTTAGGTCTTGATTCATTCTTTTTTAAAGATTAATTTTATTATTTTTTTGTGTGTGTATGTGTGAGAGAGAGGAGGGTGGGAAGAGAGAAAGAGAGACAGAGCTTGTGCGTGTGTATACACAGAAGAGGGTCTCAGTTTATCTGAAGCTGGAGTTACAGTTGGTTGTAAGCCACCCGACATGGGTGCTGGGGACAGAATTCTCGCCCCCTGACTCTATTTGTTATTTTATTTTATTTTATTTGAGACAGGGTCTCACCATGTAGCTCTAGCTCTCTTATAACTCGCTATGTAGATCAGGCTGGCCTCAAACTCAGAGATCCGCCTCCCCTGCCTCAGCAGTGTTGGAATTACAGGTGTGCCACCGTGTCCAGCATCAGAGTAGCACTCGTTCCTACTGAGCCGTCTCTCCAGTCCCTCTCAGATCCTTCTGTTTTGTTTTGTCTTTTGAGACAGCATTTCTCTGTATAGCTTTGGAGCCTGTCCTGGAACTCGCTCTGTAGACCAGGTTGGCTTCAAACTCACAAAGATCCGCCTGCCTCTGCCTCCCAAGTGCTGGGATTAAAGGTGTGTGCCACCGTGCCCAGCCTCAGATCCTTTGCTGAGTTAGGACTTTTGTTCTGGTAGAGACTTCAGATTAACTTTGAAATATAAGCATCACCAGTTTGTCCCAACGCTTAGGTTTGAACTGTGTCACCCGTGCTCAGTGAGTCACAGTGAAAGGTCTTCACCTGCCCGCTTCTTATGATGGACGGTGGGATCGAGAAGTAGTAACCTGCCCTTACTCCTTCCATGGCCGCCGACGGCCGACCGTCAAAGGCATGAAGCAGGACCTGTTCAGCACCTCTCAAATGAAAAAGAAATCAGAGTCCCATTACAGAGGGTTTGTCCCATAACAAAGGGTTTCCCCATTAGTGAAATTAAACAGATCTGAATTTTAAGTAAATATTTATCAACATGATATAAAGATCAGATTCCATAACCTCTAAAGTTTCAATAAACATGCAGTGTTCCTAAGTTTTTAATCTTCAGAATAAAATGGATAACATTGAAATGCAATTTTTAAAAACAATCACCAGAACTGTCTATACTAGATCTTTCTATACATCTATGAACTGTCAAATTACTGCTCCTAATAGGAGGATTTTGGGTAAACTGTTTTCCTAACAGACATGCTGGTAGAAAAAATGGACTCACAAATCAAACAGACCTTGCTCATAAAGCCAATCCCTGTTCTGTTTGTACTTGTGTTGTGGTGTATGTGTGCATGTGTGTGCATGTGTCTTGCTGAGGACTAAATCCAGACCCTTACTCATACCAGGCAATCCCCCTAGCACTAAGGTACATTCTTCCACACAAACTCCAGCCCTTAAAGGGGAGTTGTTCAGCCTGAATAAAATCATGTGTTCGGTGACTCCAGAAGGCCTCAGTACTCATTGCTGACGAATTCATCAGAGACCACACCTCTACTGACAGGTAGCTTCCTTACTTCAGCAGCTGTTTTTTCAAATAGTGTGAATCTTCATTATGATCATAAATTGGTTGTAAAATTTGATAGGTCATAATCAGCCAATGTGGCTTTTTTGTATACACACAACTACTGTAGACTAAACACATTTGTATACATACACATACATGTACTGTTAAATGTCTGATAGGTTTTTTATGCAAATAAGAGTCTAAAAACAAGTTGTATTTCTTATTGTGGATGGCATTTTAAACTTCAGAGAAGAATGCTGTAAGTTATGTTCATGTCCAGAAAGTCCAGAGCAGGTGACCGTGTTGTCAGTCACACGAGGGCCACACGAGGGCCACCGTCTGCACAGCACAGCTCTCTGTTGCTTGTCACTCATTATTTTCACATATTTTTATTATATTTGTGCCTGTGCAAGCATCCTCTGTTGCTCGTCACTCATTATTTTCACATATTTATTATACATGTGCCTGTGCAAGCATCCGTGAGCCATGGAAGAAGTCAGAGGACAACTGAACTCTGGCCATCAGGTTTGTGACAAGCCTCTCTATTATCTGGCCCCAAAAGGAACCGACAAAAACCGTGTAAAAAAGCACAGTGAGCAATAGGACAGTCGTTTCCCTTATTTTCTCTTTCTTATTAGAGCCAGGGGCTGGAGAGATGGCTACGTGGTCAAGAGCACTTGCTGCTCTTGCAGAGGACCTGGGTTTGGTTCCTAAAACCCACATGGCACACCTGTCTGTAACTCTCACTCCAGGGGACCTGATGCCCTCTTCAGGCGACTGAGGACACTTGGCATACATGTAGTGAACATACATACATGCAGGCAAAACACTCACACACACATAAAAAAAAAACAAACAAATAAATCTAAAAGAAAAATAAAAAACTGGAGCTTCAAGTTTCCATTTGTTTGAGTCGAGCCTGATAGATACAAACTGCACAAAAACAACCTTGTAAGTATTAGCCCGGCATAAACTCATCCCAGTGAGACTCTATCTCTCCTCTATGCATTCCCTGCTCTTTAAGAGATCAGACGGAACACACTTGCTCCTTCTACCCTCAGCTGGAACTGTGAAGCGTGAAAAGTAGGAACTGTACCTTGTTCACGTAAGAGGTTGATGGTGGGCCTTCCAGCTGAGCGTGAGTGCACGTTTCTGTTTGACACAGCAAAATTCTTTTAAAGTCTTTCTAAATAGGAAAATACTCTTTATTGTTTTAAAAATAATTCAGGAGGTTGCAGAGATGGCTCAGCTACTCTTGCAGAGGACAAGGTTTGGTTCCCAGCACCCACATGGCAGCAGCTGGTAATTAACTATAACTCCAGTCCCAGGGGATCCAGTGCCCTTTGCTGGTCTCCACAGGCACTGCACACACAGGTCCACAGACATACATGCAGGCAAACACCCTCACACACAGAACGAATTTTTAAAAGGTAACTCAGATGTAAGGAGATACAGAACTCATTTTAAGAGACCCAGCTGTTAGGGAATTTGCAGTTCTGAGCAGAAGGGCAGATCACCTACAAAGGCACATTCAGTCTTTTGGCCAACTGGACCTGTCTGATCAGGACCTGTCTTTGTTCTTCCTTCTCTTCATCAGTGCCTGCAAATTTGGGGGTGAAGTCTAGCCCCACCTGTAACAGAAAGACAGAAGATAACTGCATCTCCATGAGCCCGAGAAGACTATTGGTCAGCACATAGACCATATACATACACAGCAGCCACATTAAAATATTACCACAGTGATATAATTAAAAGTACACTTGACGTACTCCAACGTCTAACTTGTTTTATATTCCTCTTGTGGGGCACTCCAACTCTAAGACATGTGTATGTCACACACCTCAGTTTGGTGCATTAACAGTGGAAGTATTCCAAAGTCACACATGGTCACTGCGCTGGGCAGCACAGACTACAGGTGACCACCTCCCATTGATGCTACCTGGGCATGTATTCTATGACCTCTATTCAGAAAGCGTTTTCTTATCTTCTACATTAGTAGGAAGCAGATTTTTTTTTTACTGTGATAAAAATTCTTTACCATTATCAATAGTTTAAGTAACATGGACTTTCACTACAAACTCAAGATTAAAGTATACCCTATGAAGTATACCCTATGAAAAATACCCTATGAAGTATACCCTATGAAGTATACCCTATGAAGGCTGTTTGTTGTTTTTCTTTTTTGACACAGGGTTTCTCTGTATAACCACCTGGCAGTCTTGGAACTCACTGTGTAGATCAGGCTGGCCCTGAGCTCACAGAGATCTGCCTGTCTCTGCCTCTCCAGTGCTGGGATTAAAGGCGTGCACCACCACCACTGAGCACCGTTCTTGTTTTTAAATTACATTTGTTGGGCGGAGGGACACATGGATGCCACCGTGCACACATGAGGTCAGAGGACAGCTTTTGGGAGTCAGTTATCTCCTCCCACCATGTGGGTTCAGGTCCTCAAGCTGTTGGCGCAGGCTTCCACCTGCTAAACCATTTCCCTGGCTCTCCCTCTGCAGACTGTTTTAGCTTCTTAGCGCAATGGCTACACTTGAGCAAAAGTAAAGTCTTTAGAAATATTATTTCATTATCTCCTATTAAAGTAAGTCTAGAATAAGGCTTTCTGTTGCTTCATTCCCAATAGTACCAAATTATTAGCATACTGAATGGGGTGAAAATAACTATCCAAGTTGGCTATAATCACTAGTACTGGTTACTGCATCTATCCCATAGAGATCCGGATTAGACACCATCTGATCAGCAAAGGGGGTTTACCTCTCCAATTGCCAACAACCGATCCTTGTATTTCTCAATAATAGGCAAAGCTACATCCAAATCCTGCGAGGAAAAGAAATGTGTTAATGCTGAGGGTAGGAATAATAGTTGCTCATCTTGGACTATGTGCCAGGTCCTGTGCCACACTGATACTGCACACAAGTGAAACCGTTTAACCAACCTACGACACAGGAATCACCATCTCTACCACGTCAGCAACTCTAACCACATAGGTTCTGTTTGCAGGCCCACAAAGGTCCCACTTACAACTGGCCTTCTGCTAGGAGACGTTTCCTCACAGGTTTGGAGGAACCTCGAGTGGAAGCTGATTAAGTTCCTGGAGGGGGTGAGAAGACGTGGGTGGTCGCCACGTGACGTGGGTGGTCGTCATGTACATGGCTCTGCCCCGTCTAAGCAGTGGTCTCAGTTGATAATAGTCGTAGTTCCATATTTTCCCTTTGCTCTGTTTTTCATTGATTTGTCTTTATAATCCTGCTTGTTCTATCTGTAATATGAGTTCAGCAATATAAACAATGCATGTCACATATAATCTTGTCAGGGAACTACTGAAGTAGTGGTACTGCCTTTTGCATTCAAGAGAATCTGACCTATGATGGTGTCCTTCTAAGGCAAAGACAAAAGTTAGAAATCACTTGTAGATAATTTTCAAAAGATTGGCTTATTGTATGTGTGTGTGTGTGTGTGTCTGTGTGTGTGTGCGCATGTCTCGGTGAGTTACATGCACCATGTGTGTGCAGGTGCCTGAGGAGGTCAGAGGGCATCAGAAGTGGATACCTCAGGTGGTTGTCACCCCGAAGCTGGTGTCGGGAACCCAACCTGTGATCTCTACAAGAACAGTGTGTGCTCTCACTGCTGAGCCATCTCTTCAACTCCCCGTAGAACTCTTTAAATCACTCTGTGGATTGTTTTCAGAATATGTAAACTGTAAAGGTCTTCTACGGAAGAAAATCAGAACGAGAGTACCAAGGGAAGGAGGTGAAGAGATGACGGAGGTAGAAGAGGTGTGTGCTCATGGAGAGAGGGAGGCGGAGGCCAAGAGGAGTAAGTTAAGGCCCTAGGAAGATATCAAGCAGACTTGGTCAAGAAGAATGCACACTCCCCGGGAGAGCCAGAAGTGTTGGACCCTGCATAGCAGACAAGCATGGCAACAGCTGCACGGCCAGCATCCACACAATCTACCTCTGGGACCAGGGGCCCTGGAGAGGAGGGAGAAATCGCTCACTCAGAAAGTGTGATTCAGAAGGAGGCTGAAGATGAGGCTGAAGGTCAGATGCAGAGACTTGCAGCTCCTTGCAGTATGAAGTTATGAGAAAAGCAGCAAAGACCACAGGAGACCGTGCAAACCCCACTGAAAGAGCTGGGAGGTTTCTGGCAAGTCAAGTGCTAGATGTAAGACTGAGACTATATGACCTGATTCACACTACTTGCTGTCTCAGTCAAGGTTTCTATGTGAAGAGACACCGTGACCATGGCAGCTCCTATAAGGGAAAGCATTTAACTGGGGTAGCTCCCTCAGGGCGTTATTGTCATGGTGGGAAGTAAGGCAGCATGCAAGCAGACATGTGCGGGAGAAGGAGCTGAGAGTCTTACATCTTGACTCAGAGGCAACAGGAAGCCAACTAAAAGTCACACTGAAGGAAGCTTGAGACCTCGGAGCCCACCCCCCACAATGACACACTTCCTCCAACAAGGCCTCACCTCCTAATAGTGCCATTCCCTGTGAGGGCCATTTTCTTTCAAACCCCCACATTTATTTAATGCATACAAGTTTATTTTATGGGCTCTTATTGTTTTAAATTGTGTGTATGCAGGTGCCCTCAGAGGCCAGAGGCACTGGGTCTCCCGGGGGTGAAGTTACAGGTGGTTATAAGCTGCGCAGTGAGAGTAAAGGGAATCAAACTTGGGTGCTCTGCAAAGCCATATGGATTCTTACCCACTGAGATGTCTTCCTGGCCCCTGGACTTTTACTATTTTAGCTGGGCATTGATCCTAGGACTTCATACATGGTGGGCAAGTCCCCTTCCACTGAGTTAGAGTTCGTCCATCTTCGTGTTTTCTCAGTTTAAGGTAGTCTTACTTTAAGACACGGTCTCCACCTCCCCAGCACAAGAAGACAGGTGTGTGCATCAGCTATGGTTATCTTGCATGTGTCCCAGGAGTCAATCTCGGGTCCTCACACCTGTGCAGCAAGGGGCTCTATTGACTGAGCCACCTCCCCAGCCCTCTATCATCCTTTTTAATGGACAAGCAGCACGACATGGTTAAAAATATGGGAAAAAAAATCCTTAATTCCACTATATCATCATGTCATAGAATCCTGACCTTATGGAAGGTGATGTTTCTTTGGGGGTTTTTGGCTTTTTTTATTTTTGTTTTGTTTTGTTTGGTTTTTTGAGACAGGGCTTCTTTGTGTAAAAGCCTTAGCTCTCCTGGAATTTGCTCTTATAGACCAGGCAGGCCTCAAATTCACAGAGATCTATCTACCTCTCTGCCTCCCAAGTGCTGGGATTAAAGGTGTGCACCACCACCACCCCGCTTGTTGTGGGATTATTAATACAAATCAGGAGGCTGAACCAGGAGGATCATGATCAAGGTCAGGCTGGGCAATTCAGGGCGACCCTGTCTTAGAGTAAAATAAAAGTAGCTGAGGTTACAGCTCAGTGAGAGAATGTCTGCCTAGCACGCCTGAGGCCCTAGCCTAACCCCCGGCACTCCCATCCCACACCACAAGCCTATAAATTAGAGAGTGGTGTGGGGGTGGCCACCAAGACAGCAGTGACAATTTTTATGGCTCTTATTTTACACGACTTTTACCTTTAATGTCACACTTCTTGATTTTTCTGGTGAAAGTTCTTGAACTGGGTGAACTCCCAGACATGGCAGGATGAATCCAGGGTATCTAAAAATGTAGAACAAGTTAAGAAAGCAAGAATAGGCCAGAAGACCACAGTGTCTCCCTGAGGACAGAAAGGAAATGCTTTGCTTTTCGGGTTATGTTCACATGCCCTTTTTCCTCCTTGATCTTTCTATTTCCCTTGAGACAGAGTTTCCCTGTGCAGCATTGGCTGGCCTGGAACTTAGACGAGACTGGGCTCAAACTCAGAGGGATTCTCCTGTCCCTGCCTCCTAAGTGCCAGGTTAAAAGATATGCTATCATGCCTGGCTCTCTTTGTTCTTTAAAAAAACAATTCCCTGATATTATTTAAATTGGACATAACTATCTTTCTTAGCAACTCTTTAAAATCTTCATTGGAGCTAGTGTAGGGTATACACTTTGGTCTCAGCACTAAAAGGCTAAGGTGGGGGAACTGCTTGAGTTCATGAGTTCAAAACTGGCCTCAGCAGCACAAATTACAAATCTTAATTAGAAGTAACACCAGAGGTGGAGAGGTGGCTCCGTAGGTAAAACTTAGGGACTGGAGTTCAGCTCCACAGCTGGGCAGGCATGGTGGCTTCCTATAACTCAGCACTTGGGAGGCAGGGGCAAGGGATCTCAGGAGGGAGTCACTATGGTTACAGTTGCCAGAACCGGTGAGCTCTGGGTTTAGTAAGGAACCTTACCTCAATAAATAAAGAGGAAATCTGTCAAAAGAAGACACCTAATGTCAACCTTGGAAGTCCATATTCCCATACATGCATGCACACAGATGTGAACATCATACACTCACATACGCCATACATACTCAACACACACACACACTCACACACCACACTCACTCACCACACATACTCATACACACCACACACTCACACATACACATACTCACCACACACACTTACACATATACACACCATACACTCACACACACTCACCACACACACACTCACATATACATCAAGAAGAAAAAAAACAACACCTTTCTGAAAGTTGCATAATTCTTTCAAATTCTCCTGCATGTTCAGCCACTGCCACAAGGGCTATAACATTAGCCTAAAAAAAAGAACAAAATTCCAAACAATATGCACATTTAATATAAATTGGGGGAAATGTTAAAAGTTTTCCATAATTTTATTCTTCTTCTTTACCAGGCCCCAGTAATATAAACCAAACGACTACCACTGAGTAATTATTTCAGGCCCTATGCTCAATGAATACAAATGGCACCTCATTAACCTACACAGACCAAAGGTAGGCATTGCTTTAATTCGCTGGACAGACACGTATGACTAGAAAAGAGCAACTTCCTCAGAAGGTGTTGAGACTTTAAACGAGCTGACTTTAGGAATGGCTTAGCTCTGTGGCTCGCATAGACCATGGAAACAAAGACATGTCTAAACAGTACCTCAACATAATATGTCAAGCAAAACAGGAGGGGAATGAAAGAGGGGCAGTAATGGATGCTAACTTACCTTCTTGGCTTTCTCCAACACATCATCCAGATCCTACAAGGAACATAAACAACTACGCTTACTTTACATGAGTACTTACTGCTCTTTGGCCATATAAATGCTGCTGGGACACCATAAGGGACAATACTGCCACAGGGTGGCAGAAGGTGAAATGTCTCCACAGACCAGCTTCCTGCTTACTCTTACCCTCAGTGACACGCTTCGCGCACAACAGAAGCTTCTGCTGCTGAATACACAGGACAGTTCTGTCCCTCTTTACCCCTAGCAACTTCTAGACATCACACACACACACACACACACACACACACACACACACACACACACATTTTGCTTTCACAATATCTCATCTGTCTTGTCTATTTAGCACCCTTGGCCATGTCATGCCATTTCTCTACCACTGAGCCACTTGTGATTTTAGGTAGCACACCGAATCTCCAACTCACCTCAGTTTTTACTCTCTCCTGAACCCATGACTCACATTCTAATCCCTACATAATCTTTCCATCTGGATGAGATCAAATTCACCAATATGTCCCCACTAGGGATTCTATCTGCCTGTCTCTCCACTCCCATCCCACACCATGGTCTTCATCTCAGCAAAGGGCATCACCACCTTACAGCACAAACCAGAAACGTAAGCACATTCGAGTCCTCCTTTCCCTTGCGCTTCACAGCCAAGTCCCCAGCATGTATTGTTGGAGCTACTTCTAAAATACCTTGAGTACCTTTACTCTGATACGATATCATCCTAGCTTCTACCGTCTCCTGTCTGTACACTGAGACTTCTTAAGTGGCCTCGCTTTCTCTTCCTTTATCTTTTTGCTGTAAAGGTCAGCCATGATAACCTAAGTCTTTTCTTCCTCCAACCATTATCACCTGGGGCTCTGGCCCTCCATGAATTTCAATAGAGGCTGGAGTCTCAATTGTTTACCCTGAGTCGACAGCAGGAGAAACCACAAGCTGAGACCACCCGACCCCCAACCCAAGAGCAGGCCATTCAAAGGGAATTCCTGGCATTTCCAGCACTGTAGATAGAAACACCTGCAGCTCACCGTCACCAGGAAACCCTAGACGAATGTCAGCCAATCAGGGGTCTTAAAACCTTAGAAACCCCTCACTCCCACCTTTACTACTATAAAACCCTATTCTTTTTTTTTTAATTTATTTATTATATATACAATATTCTGCCTGCATGTATTCCTGTGGGCCAGAAGAGGGCACCAGATCTCATTACACACGGTTGTGAGCCACCATGTGGTTGCTGGGAATTGAACTCAGGACCTTTGGAAGAGCAGCCAGTTCTCTTATCCTCTGAGCCATCTCGAACCTTATTCTAATTGAGCTCGGGACTCTCCGGTTATTCCAATACGTTGGACGTGTGGGGAGACCGAGTCTGCAAACTTGATTAAAATAAAGGCTCTTTGCTTTTACATACGGAACTCTTGGTTTCCTTGTCGGTTCGTCTGGGATTGCGGATTTGGGCATAACACTGCCACACAGCAGCAAATTTGTGTTCAAAATATTCTGTTTTTCTTTTTTTAAACGAGTTGTCTTAAAACTTTAATGGGTGAAAAGTGCAAATTCAATGCAATCCGAATGTCTGACTGACCTACCTCTCCCATACCCTGGAAATCTCCCTAGTCTTTGAAAATTCTATTTTATTAATCGCTTCCATTTGTTGGATAACTAAAACAGGCTGAATTCCAAACTGTATGGGTGTCTATAACCTGCCGGCGGTCCTTACTACTGCACACTCACACCATAAGCATTATCTCCTAAGAGACAGACACCTGCTTCTCCATCTGCAGTCTTCCCAACGTAGCAGGTAAAACCTATTTCCACCCCTACACACACGTGTTATTCTTGTTTGTCCCTCTGCCGGTCCAGAACTGGGACTTCTGCTAAGGGCGGGGATGGATCAGCACATCTCAGGCAAGATAAGAGAAAGGGCTGTCGAAAGGAAAAACACAAGCTTCGTGGAGATAGTTTGCCGCTATCTAAGATCAGAAAGAACAACCAGGACGACGACGGAGGTGCAAAGAGAAACCGGTCAGGTCGTCACAGACTAGGATTTGGGGGGAGGAAAGATAACTTTCGGGAAAGGACGCAGCCCTCCCGACTCCCGCAGGCCCCAAATCGCCCTCACATACGCTGTTAAAGTCCGGGGCGGAGAGATGGCAGTGACAGTCCACTAGCCCCGAACCCACGGTACCCACTGCCATTTCTGCAGACTTCTCGACCGGAAGCTGGGGGGGGGGGGGGCGGGGAAGTCTGGGGCCACGGAAGCCCGGGCGGAACCATGGGCCTCGGATCGAGTTTCCGACCGGACGCGTACAGTGACGTCCCACCGTGGGAAACGTCCTTCCGGTCCCAGCGTCACCGCCTCAATTCAAACCGGGGAGATGGCGGGTAATCTCGCAGCGATGCCGGTCTCCGCCTCGCAGGATCAGGACTCCCGGACCTCCTCAGACTCCCAGACCTCGGCGCCCGCCTCTCCCGCGGAGGACTTCCGAGTGCGCTGCACCTTGAAAAGGGCCGTGTCGGAAGTGATGGAGCAGTGCAGTCGCTTCGTGCAGGAGCTCGGGGCCGCGCTGCCGGAGGACGTCCGAGAGCTCGCGCTGCGGGACGCGCAGTGGGTAAGGACGGGCCCCGCTCCTTCCCGGCCCTCACCCCGCACAGCCCGGCCCTGATCCGGCCCCACGCCGGGCCTCCGCGACCCGAATGCTGTCCGTACTGGACTGGGACGTGTCAGGGAAGGCAGCTAGATGCCAGTGCCGCCCGGGTGCTTCCTGTCCGCTGAACATACAGGGCAAGCGAGCGCGTGTGTAATCTTAAAAGACCGGCACTATTAGTGCACCCATATATTTTAATATGGGCAGCGCTCTACGTATAAATAAGGCTTCAACGTTTTGTTTTCATACTAAGCTTTCATATCTGATGACTTATGTCTACAAAAGATCCCGTGTTTGGTATTAGCCATTGCTTAAGTGCTCACTTAAATACAAAGTGACTCTTGTATGGACCAGCGCAGGTTTACTGGCTGGTACCAGGAATTCTCCAGGATCCGGTAATCCTCAAAGTCAGTCACCTGGCTAGGTTTTGGGTCTTTGCTCTTACTTGTTGCTTTATAACATCGTGTGAATGGAGCAGCAAAAGCCTTTTACTTTAAGTTGAAAATAGAAGAAGCTGTCTCAATGGTAAATTTTGCTAAGATCACTAGCTGAGCTGGACATGGCAGTGCACGCCCAGCACTTGGAAGGCAGAGGCAGGCAAATGTCCGAGTTCAAGACCAGTCTGGCCCGCACGGTGAATTCCAGACCAACCAGGGCTACATAGAGAGACCCTATGCCCCTTACTCCATTGACCCTTATAAGCCACTTCCCCTTTCACTAATGTTTTGCAAAACCTTGAAGATGATGGTTTCAGAGGAAAGACACTAGAAGTGGAGGGATTGCTGCCTCTTGAACAGATACACAGTCTATATGTAGGGGAAACTTTCAGGCTGGGAATGTGGCACATTTGTGACCAGATGACAGCAGTGCAGGGTAAAAATACAGGTTATCACTCGCAAAAAACAAAAATGAGGAGGGGCTGGAGATGTACTTGGTGGGAAGTGTTCTTGTGACATGCATGAGACAGGTTAAGTGAAAGAATAAGGAGGAAACTCTTTGGATTGTAATTCTGTATTCCAGTTTTCTATGTTACTCCCTTTTTGGAATCAAGGCAGGAAGAGAAACATTTCATAACATTTTTAGTAGTTCTTCTGGGAGACAGCTGTAAATAAGAGAACTGGTTTGTCTCATTCTAGAAAATTGCTAAGATATTCAGAACATCTACATACAGAAGACAACTGCTCCTTAGCTTCTTACATCCTAAAGGCTGAGCTCTTAGAGAGAATGGGAAGTAATCCTTTGTAGTGGAGTTTTGATTATGATGAGATACCTCGAGGTAGAACTGAGTAATATAGCGGCACATTCTTAATGATTGGTGAAGCTGCAATGAGTGTTTCAAAGACAATTTGTACTCGCATTTACTCTTTGAGAGTTTAACATAGTAAGAATCTTTTTCTATAAGTTTTTTTTCTCTCCTTTAGTGCTTGGGATTGGATGCAGAGCCTTGCTCTGCAGAGCTGTATTGTAGCCCTTTTTATAAGATAATAGAATAGGACGTGAACTATGACTCATAATTATCAGCCATTTATTATTATATAAGTGATACAAAAGACATGCTCACTAAAAATTTTCAAATAATAGCATTTATTAAATCCTCTTTGAATTGCCCATCTGTCTGAACCCCTTCTGGAAATAACTTACTGTTTTGGAGAACACGTGGAGCCTCAGCCTTCTGTTCTTCTTCACAGTTTGCCACAGTGTTCTTGTTTGTTTTTTATGTGGCCAGGCTGCTGAGTGGTCACTGATAGAGCTGGTGCAGTCCCCACTGTGTGGTAAGAGCATTTAGCCTTCTCCTAATGGTTAACTTAGATTTTATTTTTTTTTCCTCAGTTTTCACTTTGTTCCACAGAGATTTCATTATTGTCTTGCTAAAATGTTTGAATTCAGTATTTAGAGTCACTTTTGCTGACTTGGCCGCTGTAAACTTATTGCAGACTTTTGAGTCCGCTGTGCAGGAGAATGTTAGCATCAAGGGACAAGCCTGGCAGGAAGCTACAGATCACTGTCTTATGGGTATGTGGCTTAACTCTTCCTCTGTCATTAATTTCTGAGGTTGTTTTTGCAGCTAACTTTAATTTGAATGCTATTTTGTAATTTCTGTTTTCATTGTCTCTCTGTGGTTGTTTTGAATAATAATGGCCTCCATGGGCTTGTGTTTGAATTCATAGTCACCAGGGAGTGGAACTGTTAGAGAAGGATTAGGAGGTGTGGCCTTGTTGGAGGAAATGTGTCACTGGGAGTGGGCTTAGAGATTTCAAAAGCCCATACCAAGCTCAGTCTCTCTCTCTCTCTCTCTCTCTCTCTCTCTCTCTCTGCTTGTAGCTCTCAGCTACTTCAGTGCCTGCTTGCATGCCACTATGCTCCCTGCCACGGTAATGGACTAAGCCTTTGAAACTGTAAGCAAGCCCCAGTTAAAGCTTCCCTTTATAAGGGTTGCCTTGGTCATGATGTCTCTTCTCAGCAGTAGAACAGTGACCAAAACACACTTTCTTCTATCAACATTTCATCTATTGGATGGAATCGTGCAGCCATGGCGCACTTTGGAGCTTCAGGAGTTGTGGCTCCAGGAACAAACTCGGGTCCTCATTCAGGCTTGGTGGCAAGTGTTTTTACCTGCTGAGCATCTTACTGGCTTCAGTATCATTTATTTTAAAACACATTTAAATTATTATGGAACAAAAAGAAGAAAGTAATGTAGATTACTGAAGTCATAGCCCAAGAGAAGCTCAGTGGGTACCTTGATCTGTCCTGTCTGGTATCCTGAACGGTCTTTCATCTTCAGGTGCTTCTGTCAGTAAACTGTTGGAAGTTATTGTAGAATTGTCCTCACTTAAAGAGGCCCAGAGACACCTGTGTTTCCCCATAAGCCAGGCTTATGTTTTTGCAATGCTGAGATGATGCTTAGGATGGACAGTGGTGTCTTCTGATGTGTCAAGTTAACCCGTGTGCGTGGTGTGCAGAGGGTGTTACAAATTTGTAGACGGCGTCTTAAGACTGTTAGTTCACACCAAAGACTTGATTGTACCTCTGTTTGTTTTTGAGACAGGGCTTTTCTGTGTAGCCCTGACTATATTCGAACTCTGTAGACCAGGCTGGCCTCAAACTCAGAGACCCACTTACCTGTGCCTGCCAAGTGCTGGGATCAAAGGCATGCATCACCACGCCTGTCTTAGACTTGATCATACCTTACTAATGGCGCCGACATGCCAAAAAAGTGTTAACAGAAAGAGAAACAAAGGTCAGAGTAGGAAGGAAACATCCGTAGAAAGGAGTGATCAGTTTGAGACGAGAGAGGCGTCCTTGTATCTGCAGTACTGTCCAGAGAAGGGCTGCCTTGACAAGAGCCATGTGTGCCGTCTGTGCGTCTGGTAATATCACTCAGGGCTGACATCGTTGATGTCACTCGCTGCTTTGTGTTCACATTGTCCAATCATTTGAGCTGATTACAGGCCTCCCAGCAACTCTCTGTGACTGTAACTTCTTCTCAACCATAAGAGAGGGCTCTGCCCAGAGTTTCTTGTCTATTATTTGGAATTATATTAGTTGTCTTTTTACAATTACCAAAACAGATTTTGAGTTTACACACTATAACGATAAAACCAACAGCATCTGTTTTGTAAAATATTAACACAATAATTACTGATTAGTAGGGAATATATTAAAAAGTAGCCAGAAGTAATTTCTACACCACATAGCTTTTCAGTGGATCTTTATTTGAAACAAAACGTCACCCAGAAAGGCATGATGGAGTGAATGGAAAGCCATAGTGAGCTGGGGAAGTAAGAGCGGATGTGTCAAGAAAGCTAAGTTGAGCTGAGATTGCCACATGCCTCAGAGGCTTTGTAAGGGATTTGTACTTTATCACGTGGTCTTGGAGGAATCGCAGGAGTGGGGGTGTGTGTTTAGTGCCGCTGAAGGAGTCTACAGACTCACTTATGTCAAGCAAGCACTGTCTTAGGGGAGAACTGTAAGGAGAGTTATGTGAATAGGTGTGATAGGCTTTGCTTCAGGGCAGATGGATGGAAACAAAGTGCAGGCTTCACGGGGACAGAGGTTTAATCTGTTTATTGTTGTTTTTGTTGAGGTTTCCAATGAGCTCCTGCCCCAGTACTGCTCTGGAACTAAAGTAGACCATATATGTGAGGCAGCCTCTTCCCTCCCATTGTGACTGCCCTGGATGGCTCTGGTCACAGGACGTGTGGGCAGACAAATTTATAAGGGCAGTTCCTTGAGAGCAGAGCTCTGCCTTTAGAAGCATTTGCCATCTGTTTATACATTGTGCTTTTACAATTCTACCCCTTGGTGGCGCTAAGTCTCCGTGTCCTTACAGTTTCTTGTCCCAAAGATGTTTCTCCCTGGCTCTTCTTCACGTAATGTCTTTGTTTACACCTAGATTTCAGCCTAAATGTTGTTTCTTTTTAGTCATTAACTTCTGCTGGTGGTGTTGCGTTGTTCTGTGTCTTGTGTCTTTCTATACCTGTTGCATTTATCAGGGTACAATTGTCTGTCTCTTGGGGTCATGCTACATTTATCTTTTCATTTCCTGTAGGTTCTCAATAAGTGATCAGTACAGAAAAGAGGGGGCTTATTAGTTTGCCATGTTTGTTCTGTAATTATTTTGTGAATTGAGTGTATATAATGTTTCTATACTAATATGGACTTTTTCTGAAATAGATGCTGATATCAAAGTGCTTGAAGATGAATTTGATGAGCTCATAGTAGATGTGGCAACAAAACGTAGGCAATACCCTAGAAGGATCCTCGAGAGTGTCATCAAGACATTGAAAGCACAGCACGAGAGTCTGGTGAGATGTTCACATTGAAATCCTTACGCAGTGTTTTACCTCAATAAAAAATTAGCTTACCTTTTATATGTACAGGCTGGCCGTGAACTCCTGATCTTCCAACCCCCAGCCCAAGTGCTGGGATTACAGTATGCACTACCACACCTGGAATGCTGAGGTTACAGCGTGCGCTATCACACCTGGCTGGGGTTATAGCGTGCACTACCACACCTGGCTGGGATTACAGTGTGCACTATCACACCTGGAATGCTGGGGTTACAGTGTGTACTACCACTAGCACTCCTGCCTGGGGTTACAGTGTGCACCACCACACTTGGCTGGCCCTGCTTTTTCCTGTAGGTGCCAATCACATGCTTGTCTTCTCGGTTTCAGACTGGGACAAATGCAAATGAGGTAAGCCCTGGCAGATTAGACCTGAGTCTCCTGGGTGTTGAGGAGATTTACTGGGCTGGCACTGCCCATCTTAATGACTATATGCGGGCTGTAGATTGTACAATCCTCTATACCTTCAGTTTTTCTTAAATCAGCGAGCTTTTTAAATGTGAGCCTTCCAGTCGTCCCTCGTTCCACAGTGTTTCAGGGCATGAGAGGTCTTCAGTTGCTCTCAACATCCAGAGTCACATGACGATGGGGAAACCTCCACAAGAACATTCCATCCAGCTCACAGCATTTGACCTTAAACACAGCCTTCGCTAGACTTCATGGAACCGCTGGACGTGTGTTGACTGCAGTGCCTCCTCCCTGAAGGAGACCCTGCAGCAGTGGGCGGGGGTGGAGAGAGAACTGAGAGCATTCTTTTCACCCTTTGGCTCAGGTTACCATTGAGTGAAAGTAGGACGGACATTTCCCTTTTCCCTTTGCCTGCCTCTGGGGTGGCCAGCTGCCCTGTGTGCTGCAGGTGTGGGCAGTAATGAACTGTGGGACAATCTGACCGCTTTTAAAAAGTTTCCATGGAAATTGGAATTCTGAGTCTCAGACATTTTTCTTGAGTGAACCTTCCGTCACACTTTGGTCACCGCCCTGTAGTTTAAACACCACCATGCCTTCACTTTGTCTTTTCTGATTATAATCTTCATCGTGCTATTTCCTCTGTTTGCAGCAGGTGGCAGTAGGTAAAAGGTATTCAGAGCCAGGCAGTGGTGGTACACACCTTTAATCCCAACACTGGAGAGGCAGAGGCGGGCAGATCTCTGAGTTCGAGGCCAGCCTGGTCTACAAAGGGAGTTCCAGGAGAGCCAGGACTGTTACACAAAGAAACCCTGTCTCAGAAAACAAACAGCTAGGCGCTGGTGGCACATGCTTTTAATTCCAGCACTCAGGAGGCAGAGGCAGATGGATCTCTGTGAGTTCAAGACCAGTCTAGTCTACAAAGCTGATTCCAGGACAGCCAGGACCAATATACAGAGAAACCTTGTCTCGGAGGGGGTGGGGGAGGAAATAAAGAGTTATTAAAAACTAAGGATATTTTCCCTACAGAGTTCAGTTCTGACACTCTTGACTGTATCGGTGTACTTGCTGTCACTAGCTGAAAGATGTGCTTATTTATCTGGGCATCACCTGTCTAAATTAATGTTTGGATCTGTGCTGTGTTTAGAAGCAGTATCGTCCTGTTGTACATCCCTTGGACCTGAGATGCGACCCTGACCCAGGTAAGCCAGCTGAGTGTGTGTTGACAGTGAAGGGTCTCTGTCCTGGTTCCCAGCTGTGTGACCCTCACTTCCACAGTCTGTGCAGAGCACCTGGTCCCCTCCAGTGTCACACACACAAATGGCAGGTGCTCCTGCGTGCGGCTGCACAGCTGTTGACTTTACTAACAGGAACTCGATTCTCTTTCAGCTTTGCCTTAGGTTTCTTTTGTCTTAGTTTTCAGTTTTCATGATTTCAGATTTTATCTTTAATGTGGTCCTCCTGGTTTTCTCCATTTTTGTTATGTTTAACTTCTTGAGTTGGCTCAGATACAGTTTTAATAAATGCAGTGAAGACCACAGTTGATGAGCCCTGCTTTATATTTGAATTCTTACATGTTTTCCAGTTTCCAGTCCCAGTTCTCTCTTACCAGGCCCTGCTCTGCCGCCTCCAGCTGTGTGGATGCAGTCTTCCTTACTGTCTTGTTTTTTGTTCCCCAGTTTGGAAGAGGCATGCTGTGTTTTTCCAGTCTCTGTTTCAGAGTAGAAAGGCTCATCTCAGCCTTGGGTTTAAACAAGGGAAGCTTACAATTTCCACTTCCTGCCCCGCTGGAACACATTGATTGATTTTACAGAGAGGCAGATTTGCAGCTACTGTTCCCTTGCTAGGGTCTGCATAATGAAGCAGTCCTGGCCAGGTTGTGCGGGTTGGTGCTCCAAAGAAGTCCTTCCTACCAGCGTCACCATGGCTGAGGGCCAGTCTCCTCCTCCCGACTCTAGAAGCAGCATCTAGTCTACAGTAGCACTGTGCTCTGAGTGGGGGAACATGAGCCTGCAGCAGGGTTCTTGGATGAGAGGAAGCTTCTGTGGCAATGTTAGATGGGAATTTTTATGGTTACTGTCAAGAGGAAGAACTCTGAGGAATGAACTCGAGTCCATGGGACAAAAGAATTGACAAATAAGATCAGATACTTGGCTGAGGCCAGATAAAAACCCCTGGGTTAAGACTTTCACAGGCCCAAGGGAGACTGTGTAGTTGAGTTTTGTTTGTTTGTTTTAACTTTTTTGACTCTTTGACTCTTGGGGACCTGCCACCCAGCTCCCAAATAAATCACACACAATCACACACAGGCACTTACTATTATTTATAAATGCCCAGCTTTAGCTTGGCTTATTTCTAGCAAGCTTTCCTTAAATTTCCTACCTTTTGTCCTCTGGGCTTTTTCCTTTCCTTAGTTCTGTTTATCTTACTCTTACTCTGTGACTGGCTGGGGCTGGGTGGCCCTGGTGTCCTCTCTTCCTTGTTCTCTGGTCCTCAATCCCTCTTTTTCTCCGTCTATTTATCCTCTCTGCCTGCCAGCCCCGCCTATTCTTTCTCCTGCCTAGCTATTGACTGTTCAGCTCTTTATTAGACCAGTCAGGTGTTTCAGGCAGGCAAAGTAACACAGCTTCACAAAGGTAAACAAATGTAGCATAAAAGAACGTAGCACATCTTTGCATCATGAAAACAAATGTTCCACAGCATAAACAACTCTGAAATACAACTCTGAAATGTAACAACTCTGAAAATAATATTCCACAGCAAGATTGGCACCACAGTGCTGTAGAAGGGCAAGGTGTGTTGGGCTCACAGCTTTGTAGCCTGTTTGTATTTTCAGCAGAAATGCTGACTTCCATCCTCATGACTCATGGCATCGGTGGGATTGGTTGCCTCCTCAGAAACTGATCTAAGCCTGGCGTCCTCTCAGCACGCTTGCTTATTTGTGCTCAGGAAGTACACTGGCAGTAGATGTGAGGCTGCCAGCTGGTGCATTTCTGCTGAATCTGCAGGCTTGGGAGGTTCATGTTCCCTTGTTAGTCAAGCAGTGACCCGGAAGCAAAACTGGGCTCATTGCTCAATCTTTCATTTCCACATTTTCATTTCCCCGTGTTTTAGAAAGCAAGCAGCCAGGGAAGACTGTTCTCAGAGGTTCTGAACTTCCACATTTTGTAAGGGCAATATTTTTTCCCCCAGCTATCCACTGATTAACTGTTTACCAATAAGATTTTGTCAGGAGCAGCCTTGAAAACCCCCTGAAATGAAGAGGTTCTTTCCCCATTACCCTGCCTTACACAGAGTGATGGCAGAGATGTTCAGAGTTCTCCTGTAGTCGATGCCTGAGGTCTAGGCTGGCCCTGTGAGCAGAGCCTTCAGGCAACCCCTCATTTCCTGGCAGTGCTGTCTGGCCTCAGGCACCGCTGAGCAGTCTGGGTAGTGCTCACAAACACCCACACTTCAGGGCTCACATTGCTGTCTGGGCTGCAGAACTTTTACTTTAATGAGGAAAAGAGTTTATTTTGGAGATAATATGAGTGACCATGGCTGGGGAGTGCAGACTTAGGTTACTGCAAATTTCTTCCTTCCTTCCTTCCTTCCTTCCTTCCTTCCTTCCTTCCTTCCTTCCTTCTTTCCTTCCTTCCTTCCTTCCTCCCTCTCTCTCTCTCTTTCTCTCTCTCTCTCTTTCTTTCTTTCTTATGTATACAATATTCTGTCTGTGTGTCTGCCTACAGGCCAGAAGAGAGCATCAGATCTCATTTCAGATGGTTGTGAGCCACCATGTGGTTGCTGGGAATTGAACTCAGGACCTTTGAAAGAGCAGGTAATGCTCTTAACCGCTAAGCCATCTCTCCAGCCCCATACTACAAATTTCTTTCTTTCTTTCTTTCTTTCTTTCTTTCTTTCTTTCTTTCTTTCTTTCTTTCTTTTTTTTTTTTGGTTTTGTTTTTCGAGACAGGGTTTCTTCTGTAACTGTCCTGGAACTAGCTCTTGTAAACCAGGCTGGCCTTGAACTCACAGAGATCTGCTTGTCTCTGCCTTCCAAGTGCTGGGATTAAAAATGTGTGCCACCACCTCCAGGCCCTACTGCTGGTTTCATGTTGCAATGTGTTAACAGTTTTGTGGAGTTTTACAATAGCAATAAAGAGATCATTAGCAGGGCTATCTATTTGACACATTGGTGGAAGTGTCAGGCAGGTTGGTGACGCCTAAGATGCTGTCTGGACAGCGGTGGGCATACCTGGCTGGGAAGGGCGGTAAAGGTGGCTCAGATAATTTGCCTCTGGACTTGAAACACTATCGTTTCCTGGTTGTATTAAGTCCATCAGTCTTAGAAGGCTCCCTCTGAGGTGTGGTTGACATTGATAAGAATGGTATCCCCTTGCCGTCAGAGATGTTCCTGTGGAGGCTATAGGGGAGGAGGCACAGAGAACGCTCTGGGGAAGCCCACCGTCTCTCACACAGACTAGGAGACTTCCTCAGGCAGCGTTCCTGTGTTCTTCCCAGTTATAAGACATGGCAGATACACTTAGGATCATTGTGGGCAGGGAGCAAGAAGCTTCCTGCTTTGGAATTTCTTCAGGTATTCATGTTGGGAAATGATGTTTTTAACTTCCTAAAAATTTTTATTTATTGTGTGTGTTTGTGCACACACACATGTGCATGCACTAGTATGTGTGTGGAGGTCAGAGGACAATTACAGAAGTCTATTCTCTCTTTCTGCCACATGGGTTCCAGGAATCAAATCAGGTTGTCAGGATTGGCAGCAAGTTCCTTTTCTTACTGAGCCATCTTACCAGCCCAGAAAATAAGTTTTATGTCTCTACAGTATATCATATCATTTTTTATGAGTTTTGCTTAACTTTGTGATGGCCTGGAATGTATGGCCTCTTGCTGTTGCTTTCTGGGTGCTGAGGTCACAGGTGTCTGTCTCCTTTCTGTTAGAGGTCATTGTGAAGTGTGTGTGCTTTCTCCCTTTTTGTCTTTAGTTTTGAAAACTTTTTTTTTGGTTCTATTCCTAGAATTATTGATAACTTGAGTTTTTATCTTGTTTGTTTTTGAAACACTGTATCTTTGACTGGCCTGGAACTCAATTATGTAGACCAGGCTAGCCTCAAATTTAGAGAGACCCACGACCCACCTCTGCCTCCCAAGTGCTGGATTAAAGGCAAGCACCATCACATACTGCAGACACCTTTTAGTTTTGAAGGCAAAGGATTCAGTTTACTTAATTAAAAAAGAAGAGGTACCGTAAATTTATAGTTAAACATTTAGTTTTAGAATGTTATCAGGAAACCAATTCTCCTGATGCTCAGTCTTTCCCAGTTGTGAATGTACATCTTTGGGAAGACAGTGTGTGATTTCTGGCAGGGTGGATTTCAGATGTGAGTTCTAACTCCTAGTTGCAGTTCCCCTTCTTGGGTTGTCTGTGAGAGGCGGCCATGAGGCCTGCTCTGACAGGGTGTGCGGTGGCTGCAACAGGACAGGCTCCAGGGCGTCTCTTCCTGCTCCGCTCTCATTGGAGCTTCCTCAGAGGGCTCATCGCACCCACCAGCTTCACTTTTTGTTTTGTTTTTGAAACAGGGTCTCTCTATGTAGTCCCAGCTGTCGTGAAACTCCCTCTGTAGACCAGGCTGACCTCAAACTCACAGACATCCACCTGCTCCTGCCTCCTAAGTGCAGGGTTTAAGGGTGTGCCACCGTGCCTGGCTGTCCACTAGCTTCATTTAATCCTTCTCATGGCTGTAGAAAACTATCAGTCTGGTGTTGGGTCCTTACCTGTTACGCTATGACATCCTTCAGTGTGAGCTGTCACTGCAGCCCTTCTGACATGACAGTTGCTTCTCCCTGAGTTCCGTCCCATCTCTCTGACTTCCTCCCAGAACTGTGAACTTGTGGGTGTGGCAAACATGAGGCTCTCCATCTTCCTATTCCAGTCTTCACCAGCTGCCCTCTCCTGCTGCAAACCTTCATCCTGTCCGCCCTTTCCTCATTATCCTGGAATTTCCTCTCTTCTCTCCTGTTGCGGATCGTCTTTCCTGGTTGCTGTTTTCTCCTGGTTCTGATATATTTCCTTATTTGGGTAAAGTGTATCCTATCCTCTGAACCCTGTAGTCCTCTGTCCATTTGGCACCAGGTCCCTGTGAGTTGGTGTCACCCTCTTTGATTAAGGAAGTGCCTGGTGCCATGGCTGTGCGCTGTTATAGCTTTTGAGAACCTGCTCTCAGGTGCTGGGGTCACCCTTACAGAACAGTCCTCTTCCCAGGAGGTGCCAGGCTTCTCATTGGTGTACATACTGCCCTCTAGTGACCCTTCTGAAAAAGTTGGAGGATGTTTGGGGGATAAGGGATGGTGTAATTTGTAAACTTTGTAAAAGGGATTTGTAGTCATGCCAGAAATACTAAATGCCTTATGTGTCAGGCCCAGTTTTAGGGTACCCCATCATATACTCGGGTGCTGTAATCTATAAGTATGCAAGCCTAGAGTCTAGCTCTATTTTACAGTCAAGCCCAAACCCCTCTTGGGCTTATATGTTGTCATTGTTTGTACAACAAATGAAAAACAGGTATTGTTTGGCAATGGGAAGATAAAGACCAAGACAAGGTGGCATGGGGTATTTGGGGGAGCTGATAGAACTCAGTCTGTAAATAAAGTTCTTACTTAAGGAGCCTAGAGAGGAGGTTTTGCTCAGGCCAAGGACTGCTGCTGCCTTGTTCACACAGAGAAGAGTCATTGTTGCATATGTGTTTGTAATAGAATAACATAGAGTATACAACTTGATGAAGTTATGTATCCGTACATGTGTATATAACCACCACTATCTAGATATGAGTGTCTGATGGCCAGAAACATGTCAAACATTTTAACCATTTTCAGCTGTGCCCATTATGTTGTCATGTATACAGGGAATACAACAGTATCCATAAGTCCTGGAATAATGATGAAAATAGTCTATTGCATTCTTCATGTCAACTACTGAACCTATTTCTTTAAATTTGGAAGTATTTTATCTGGGAGAAAGTGAAATGAGGAATACGATGTATCAGACACACCCCCAGAAACCTGAAAACCTTCTGATATTCTTACCTGGCAACCAAGCATTTAACACGTTGGCCTTCTAGATCCACTGGAATGTTCTAGATGGTCACTTACTGAGAATTTTAATTTACACTTATGACTAAATATGTTGATTGAAAACATACTACTCTTATGTCTATGGTTACTTACAGCTAAAACAATAAACACATCTATAAAACAATAAACTATCCCTTCTGATTTCTGGGTCGTTAACCTGGTAGAAGTGGCTTTAGTTCTTCCCAGCATGGGCCTCTAAGCCTCCTGCCACCTCTCAACTTGCTCCTCCCAATGTCATGACAGAGGGTACCCCCCCGCCCAGGGTGCCCCCCCGCCCATGACGGAAGCTGTCCTAAAACACTTTGATTGTGGAGGTGGCACGCTGTTAGAGCGGTCAGTTACCAGTCATGCAGAGGGAAAGGGCTGCTTGCGTGCAAGTGTGCACACTGCAGTGGGGCTCTTGTGAACCATTGTGAAAGTGGCTCATGCGCACAAGGATGCTAACGTGTTGTTGCAGTGTTAGGGTTCTCTGAAGGAACAGCTGATGACATGAACTTGAGAGAGAGAGACGGTATTACCAGGGTGGCCTACAGGCTACGGTCTGGGTAGTTCTCCTATGGCTGTCTCCTGACAGAGAGGCCAGGCTAGCCATTGAGTCAGTTTCCAGTCTGGTGCTGGGTCCCAGGGAATTCCGGTTGCATTGTTGGTCTTCAGTCTGCATTGAAGCCCTAGAGACGTGGGTTCTAGCAGCAGTGAAGGGATGCCTCAGCAGCAGGAGGCACAGAACACATGTGAAGATCAGAGCACGGCATTGTGAGGTGGATTCTCTCCACAACCTTGCAGCTTTGCAACCTTACCTCGGTTCTGGGATCGAACGTTTGCCAATCCTTTGCAACCACTTTGCCTAGTCAGCTCACTGGCCCATGTTTTGCTTTTATAAAGTTCAGAATCATTTAAAAATATAAAGTCTTAGCCTGTGCTTGTCTTAAAACTTGATGTACAGAGGGGTCAGCTGCAGGAATGTGTATAGAATGGATGTCAGGTGCTCTTGGGGCACAGCGGGGACTGCCCAGCATCCAGCCTGTGTGCACACCTTTGAATTGCACTCTGCTGTTCTCCTGGTCCTCTTATTCGTCTTGATAAATTGGATAGGATGTTGGCTTCAGTAGATTACAAAGTACTGTAAGAAAAATTAGACTAAGGTGAACGGTCCTGACAGATTCCGGCCTGGATTGCATCTAAGTGTCTTTGTGATTGGCTAATTAGATAAAGAACCTAAAATACTGTTTGGTGATTTCTTGCAGCTTCTCATGTGGAAAATTTGAAATGCCGTGGGGACGCCATAGCTAAGAAAATCAGTGACGCCATGAAGGTAAAAGCTGTGCTGTGTATGTAGAGTGGAAAAGACGGCGCTTGCTGTCGGTGCCAGGCGTGTTTGGGCTGCAGGAGGATGATCAGGAGTCTGTTCAGTGGCTCTAAGTGTGTTAAGCAGCAATAATATTCAAAGTTCCCTTTATCTGGTGTCTACTGTGTACCACATATTCTACCTGGCGGGTGCTTACCGTAAGCTGTGTATCCCCCTGGTTTCTCTAGTGAGATTATACTTTCTGAACTGTACCGGGATGACACTGTTTGTGACATTTACAGAGCATGTGGTGTCTGCTCTGTGTCTGCTGTCACACTAACTCCATAGGATAAGTATTTTAACCCCTGAATTATAGACGGGGAAACTGAGGCACTAAGAGCCTCAATCATTTGCCCAACCAGGTTTCTGACCCAGGCTCTGGCTTCGGAGCTTGTCTGTCGTCTCTGCTTTCGTGCCAGGCTCAGACCCAGGTCTGCACATGCTCATCACACAGTACCCGAGCCATGTTCTTGACATGGGAGTTTGCTCTTCATCACTCTAGTTATTACACTACAGCTGGGTCACCTCAAGCTCATCCTAACATGGGTTCTACTGGGACATTTATTTTACCTAAACATAAAAATAAATTCCTGGTACATGGAAATGATTTTTAAACTTCAGTGCCTCCCTAGTTCTGTGGCATTATTTTTGGTTTGTATGGATTCTGTGTTTTTCTGATAGTTGATCGTCTATTGCTTTCATCCTATTCTTGATCCAGAGTTGGTGGGCTGGGTATTCAGCTTGCCTCATTTTTATAAACAAAACTTTATTGGAACAGAGATGGAATCATTCATTTACTTCCTCTGTGTTATTTCTTTTATGTTCTAAATAGACTTGACCTAAAGAATTGCAATGCAGCATGTTTGTGTCTGTGTATTCCGTGTCTTTGTCTTGCATTCACCTTTGAACCTGATATTTTCCTTCCCAAGGCTTTGCCTGTGTTAATTGAACAAGGAGACGGCTTTTCCCAGGTCTTGAAGATGCAGCCTGTCATCCAGCTACAGAGGATCAATCAGGAAGTCTTTTCCAGTTGTTACAGGAGAGCAGATACCAAGCCCGACAAGTCTGTAACACAAATAGAAACCACACCAACCGAGACTGCAGCCAGGAAAGCCTCGAACATTGTGCTAAAGAGAAAGCACGCATCGGACTGCTCTCAGAGAAAGTGCTACCCGCTACGGCTAAAGAGAATCAATCTCGACGGATAAGCTGTTGCTTGGGGAGTTGAAGTCAATGCTCTCAGCATTTGGGTCACAGTCTGCTGCTTGGGGGATGTCACTTAAACAGCCTGTGACTCTTTGCAGGCACAGCGCACCACTCTGCTTGTCCTCGGCTGTGGCGGGGTTCTCTACGCCCTTGATCTCCTTCTGTGCTAGGTAAAAGCCTTTTGAGGATTGCACAGCCCTGCCTGTGTCCTCAGATGCCATCTGTCTCTGCAGCCTTGCAGCTGCCGAGGCATTGCAGGGGTGTGCGCTGATGCCCTGGGGTGGCTCTGCACGACAGTGTGTGCATGGCTAGTTCAGTTCATCAGGTGAGCGCACCGAAGACGGGCTGGCCTTGGCTCTGTTCCATGGGCAGTTAATTTACAGTTTTAGGGTTTTGTTTTGTGAGATAAAGGAGAAGGCTAGTATTTATGCAGGGAATATTCTTAAAAAGCAAACCTGAGGCTGGAGCCTCTGTTTCCTGCCTACACTTTCATGTCTGTAGGTTTTTTTTAATATAACTTGACTGGGAACTGATAGTTTCTTTTGAAGTCCTCATTTCCAAATAGATCCTTCCAGTTCAAAGTATACATTAGGATTGTTTGTCATGCCATGTACAGCAGATCTAGGCGGAGCAAGCTACCCCTGTTAAGGGCGTTCATATCTGACATAGTGTCAGACTTAAAAGGGGTCTCAGCAAACTTACACTCGGAGATTTAGCCACAGCCTCTCAGAGCCTGCACTGTGTCTCACACGGTGCATTGTAGATAGGGCCTCTAGCTTACCACTTGTTTCCTTTTTGGGTAATTATACACTTTTGTCCATTTCCAGAGGAATGTACTAAGGGCTTGGAAATTCTGTAATACTCTTACTTGGTATGTCCTCATGATCATGCACATCTAGCTTTGTCTGGTTTCCTCGTTTGAAAAAGCCTTGTGGTGAGGCCACTTATGGAATCTTTAGATTCTGTTTTAGTGCTCCTACAGAGCAGTGTTTTGGTTTTGTTTTGTGTTTTAAAGTAACATATAAAGACCAAATTCCTGGCTCGTGCTCTCTCCAGCTAACAAAGCATTCTTGGTGCCAGCCTGAGTCGGACAGCAGGTCGTCGGCACTCCGCGTTTCTGAGTGAACTGACCTTTGCCTTAGAATCACTCGGCGACTTCAGGAGGTGGCTGTTCTTCTGTACCTTTCACGCATTTGCGTTCTGTGATCTCACTTCAGAAGTTCCTCAGCAGGCAAGGCAATGCAGTGGGTTTCCGATGGGCACGTGCTATAGAACACGATGGGAGCATGAGCTCGGAGACGTCCCGCTGGATGGTTCTCAGGATCCGAGGTGGTGCCAAGAGGAGTTTTGAGTGATTCACAAATGTTTGGCATGAATGTGACTTGACCCTGTGGCTAGAACACTCACTCAGCAGTGACCTCGGAGAGGTGTTCAGTCCTCGGTGCAGAAGCTGAGTGACTGGGGCCCACATGCAACAGTTCTCAGTGGAGGATTGTCTTCCAAGGGAGCTTTGTCAAGGCCAAGGCGCTTCTGCCTACGGTAACTTAAGATGTTGGAGTGTGTGTGTGTCGAGAGGTGGGTACTACTGTCATCGGTGAGCAGATGCTGCACATGCCCTGGATGGCAGATGTCCCAGACCAGTCATCCTGAGGCAGAGAAGCCTGTTGAGGGGAGAGTGGCAGCATAAGGTGTTGCGGCGTTCAGACCCATCTGGGAAGCGCTGTCTGTACTGGCGTGCAACTGTTGCGGCATTCTGCCTGTTTATATCCTGTGTGTGTCTGTGTCTATCCCCGTCTGTCAGTCTGGGCTGTCTGGCAATACCCTGTGTGTGTGTGTGTGTGTGTGTGTGTGTGTGTGTGTGTGTGTGTGTGGCCCTGCCAGCCTGGGCTACCTGGAAATACCGTGTGTGTCCCAGCCCAATAGATAAGACTAATGTGACAAAGTGTTAAGCTGTTGAGTCTAGAATTTGCTTCTGATGCTGGAAGGTTTTACAATAAAATTTGAATTCAGTAGTCATTTTCATGTGTGTTCCTTTATACCACACATACTCAGTGACTACAGTACTAGGGGCTGGGTGGGGATCTTCTGCCTGTGCAACCACTCCCCACCTGTCTGTGGTCCTGCCACAGTGTAGTCCCGCCTGTCTACCATGGGACAGTTCGCGAGTCAGGCAAGGGCCGGAGATTGAAACACACACAAAACAGAGACACGAGTCATCCTTGAGATGCCCCTTTTGCTGTGTTCCAGGGCAGCTTATATAGGGGCTCTCCTTAACTAATGACCATATCCTAGCTCTCGGGGTTTTTCAGCTGCAAGCCCACTCCCCCTGCCATCAGGAACTCATGAGGGTCTCGTGCCCAGAGCAGCTGCAAGCACAGGAAAACAAATTGTTTACTCCGGCAGGCAGGGGTCACAGGAAATTCAGGGGCTGAGGGTCTGCAGTCCCCAACACCACAGGACATCAGTGGTAGCTGAGGACCCCTTAGTAGGGTACTATGATCTCAGGGAGCCAGTTCCCTGCACTTTGACCTCCTGAGGGAACGTGGGCGTGAAACTGGGGCTTTGGCAATTTCTGTGGAATCAAATGTTTGCAAGAATCTGTTTCTAGAAACCGCAGTAGAGCATTAAGAAATTCGTAAACAAACACCCCCTGCCTGGGGTGACAGACTCTGTTCCCAGCCCAACCCCAGCATCCCCAGGCTTGTACTCCTTGGGACACCAGTGGCTTCGAGCTGGGGGCCTGTGCTGGAGTCTCCAGTGGAGTGAAACATGATATCAAGGTAAGGCAGCAAGGGGCCCGTGACCAGCTTCACCTGGTGTCATTTGTGAAAATGGCTCCCCCCACAGAGATCTCATCCAGTGCTGCGTAAGACCACTTAATTCGGCAGCCCAGTATCTGAATTCTCAAAAAATATGAATTTCCTAATGAAATTCCCTTTCTCTTTCATGCCTCCCTGAAATCTGATTAAAATGTTATGCGAACAGATTTGCTCTAGCCACTAGGTTACCTGTTGATTCTAGTCTTGTTTGTTCAAAATAAAAGGTGGCTCAAAAACCGCAAGCAATACCAGGTGGGGGAGGGGGTTGACAGACAGCGTGAGCTGGGTTGGAGATGCAGCTCAGTGGTACAGGGCTTGCCTAACTGCTCAGGGCCCTGAGCTCCGATAATAACATTGTTTAAAGCAGCATATGAATAATAATGATTATTTATATCGGTCTTGTTATGGTATCCAGGCTGATCTTTTGGTGTTTTTGTTATTCTTGAGACAGAGTCTCGCTGTGTAGCTCAGGCTGGCCTCAAACTCGACATTTTCCTGTCTCAGCCTCCTGAGGGGTTACATGCATGTGCTAGCCTCAATTTCCTGGGCTCTAGTGATCCTCCTGCCTCAGCCTCCCAAGTATCTGGGAACACAGGCATGGGTCGCTGCATCTAGCTAGAATCCTCTGGACCCCAGAATTGTACAAAAATAGATTTTATAACCATTTCAGTTTGTGTTTTTGTTTTTTATTGGTTTTATTAGGAGATGAAGTCTCATTCTGCAGCCTGAGCAGGCCTGGAGCTCACTATGTAGCCTAGGCTGGCCTCAAACCTTTGGTGATCCTTTTATGTAGTTCTCTAAATGCTGAGAATTCGAGGTGTGTGTCACTGTTGATGGGGTCTAGACTGGGTTGGTGTTAAAAGACACAGAACATGACTGGTAGCAGCAGGGAATTCAGACACAGCAGCTGGAGTCAGCCAGTGGAGAAAGGCTCTTTATTAGAAGTGAGGCACACACAGCAAGGTACACAAAGACCCTCTGCTTTGTAGAAAGCAGGATTCCTGAGCCCCAAACCCAGTCTTTCCTTGAGGGGTTCTAAGGGCCTCTGAGGGGCCTTCAGCCCCTAAGTTAGGGCTAACCAATATGAACAAAGACAGGGAGCTGATAGGCCCAAGACTTCGAAGCAAACATATCCTGATCTTTCTGACCAGTCTACAGCAGGGGCAGCCCACTGGTGGGGGAGAGAGCCCACCAGGCCTTTGGTCAGGAGTGTGAGGAAGGGGCCAGACATTTGCCGTCTTTATAGCTTTGTGGCCCCTCTTTCTACCTAACTCCTACCAGGGATCTGTCCCTGTTTTCAGTTTTGTGGTACTAGGGATCAAAGCCAAGGCCTTGGGCACAGTGAGTGAGCACCTGCCTCTGAGTTCATTTCCAGTCTGTATTACCAATTTATTCACTAAAGGGGACAGCAAGATGCCAGTAGTCCCCGCACACAGTTTTCTTCCCCCATGTGCTAAGATCTCTCATCCTCAGAACCTCCTGGGGTTGGGCAGCATCCACCCCCACTGTGGTGGAGAGGAAATGGAGCTGAGAAAGGCTAAGCCCCTTGGCGCTGTCCAGCAGGCAGCTGAGCAGGGCCAGAGAGGTCTGGCCTAGTCCGGTCTCAGATGTCCCTAGTGTTGCATCACGGGACTGTTTTGTCTTATTTTTCAGCAAAATAAACCAACATATGCTGACAATAAACAGTTCTGAGTTTCCTGGGCCTCAGGCATGGCTCATATAAAGCAACAGAGGCATCTGTGAAAGGGAACAGTTGTTTAAAGCAGGTTGTGTGTGTTTTGCTGTCTGTGGCTCAGGGTCTACCAGCCACCAAAGCCAGGCTGGCTGCATTCCAGGATGTGAAGAGTCACCAGTTACAAGAAACTCTGAATCACTGAACTGATTGAAGGTTTCGAAGGGATTTCCAGACAACTGTGCCATCACACTTTAGGAACAGAGCAAGCCTCATGTTTAATCCGTCGTCTATCAAGGTTTATGCTGGAGTTAAGCCCCACAAAGCCTCTGAATTCAGAAGGATCACTATAACAGACGAGAACCTGACTTGTAAGGTCCGAGGGTAAACAAGTTAGCTCACAGAAGTCTTTACCACGTCCCGTTTATTCTTCCCATGCTCAGTGTCCCCTCTCCATGCTTCTCCTCAATGCTCCTCTTTGGATGTTCCTCGCTGTTTTTCCCATCCACAAGGTTTCCAGTTTATAGACCCACACAGACATAGTTAACAATTCTCTGGTAAATAACAGTGATACCAAGCATGCATTCCTTAGAACTAACAGGATGGATAAGACTGGCAAAGTAGGCGCCTTGTGTCTCAGAAGGGGGGTGGCTGTGGAGCTTCCCAGCAGATACTGGGAGGATTAGGATGGAGCTTGCCCCCCACCCCGCCCTTACCCCAGGCTAAGCATCAGGGTGCTGTATCCACTGGCACCAAGGTAAGAAGGAATTTCTTTCTCTGGGGCTGGTTTAGCGACCCAAGCTTTTTTTTTTTCTGTATATTTTATGAGTAAAGGTACAAACACTTAATTTCCTAGACCTTGTGTCACATGAAAGGTGAAGGTAAGTGCAGAATATAATATATATTATATATAATATAAGGTAATAGCTTGTTAGGGTAGAGCAAAGACCAGTGGGTTATGCTCTCCTGAGTTGGCTGTTACAGAATTCAGGGCCACCTAGACCTTTTTATCAGTAAGTACAGACATACTGTCCTTCCCATTCAGTGCCTCCTGCTCAGGGCTCCTTTCCTGTCAATAAGGATAATTGTGGTGGACCAGCTTTCTGTAGATTTGACTACGAGAACAAAGGTTTGGCTGAGTGAATCTTTCACTCCAGGGCCCCACGGTGAGGGAAAAGTCATCCAGTTGTCTGTATAGGAAGAAATCTCAGCGAATGATTTATACACTGCTGGGGTATTTCAGGATGAATCCCATTATGGAAGGGAGAAAAGCCATGACTTCATAAGATCTCTATAGAATTGATGTCCAAAAGACAGGTGCTCCCAAGCTCTGCAGATTGGGTTCCTCACTTCTCCCGTGAGTTTGTCTAGTGATCTGGCAGCTGTACTTTTACTGTATAATGCTTGTGGCTCACAGCAATTATCCTTTCTCTTCAGAGAAACTAAATTTCTAACCATTTTAGCGGACTGCTGACCATCGTTACCAGTCTTCCAAGTACATATGCCTTGAGAACATCATGCCGACTTCCGTCCACTTCCTGGGGTAAGCCTGCCGGGGCAGTCTCGGGAACTGTGAAAGCTGGCTGGCACAGGCCCTGACAGATGCAGTACAAGCCCCGCATCTCGCCTCTCTGGAACACTCCTCCATCTCTATCAGCCCGGTCTGACACCGAAGACCCAGGCCTGGTGGCCTTCTCATGACTCCTCACTTCAAGACTATTTGTAAAATTTTATTTTTACGTGTCTTACTCACATGTATGTGTGTGCAGCATGTGTGTGCATTGTCCACAGAGCCAGAAGAGTGGGTGACAGCCCCTGGAGCAGGAGTTACAGGTGGTTATGAGCTTCCACATGGGGCTGGGAACGGAATGCAGGTCCTATGCAGTAGCAGCTCACCACTGAGCCATTTCTCCAGCCCAGTGCACTCCATTCTGTTAGTAAAAGATCACAGGCCCACCCAGACTCAAAATTGGGCCAGGCAGGTGTAGTTTTGTGGGTTTTTGTTTGTTTGTTTGCTTTTTAACTCTTTGGGGCCCCACAAACTCCCTCCCCCCAAATTATAGAGAAACTTATTCTGACTTATGAATGCCTCTCCCCCACTTCCTTTCTGGCTCCTTGCTCTTCTTCCCCAGCTTTTTCCTCCCATTTATCCTCTCTGCCTGCCAGCCCAGCTGTCCTTTCTCCTGCCTAGCTAGTGGCTGCTCAGTTCTTCATTAGATCAGTCCGGTGTTGTAGGCAGGCAAAGTAACACAGCTTTGTGGAATTAAACAAATGCAACATAAAAGAATGCAACACATCTTTGCATCGTTAAACAAATATCCAACAGCATAAACAAATGCAACACATCTGAAACTAATATTCCACAACACACAGGGAAACCCACAAAGGCATGGATACTGAAGAGTGACTTACTGTGGCCGCCAGATTCACGGCCCTCCGCCACAGCCTTAAAGACTACACCTGGACACTAGTTCCGGAGAGAGATTAGTACCAATGGTTAAAGCATTGGCTGCTCTTTCAGAGGG